CACTTCACCCATACAACATTAAACTGCAGTGATGAATATTTATACCCAAGGTAGTTGAATGCATTGAAACCAGTGGCTCAACAAAGGCGATCGTGCATCAATGTCAGAGTGAACGAGGAATAAAAGAAAAGGAGAAAATAATGACAAAATGTTTCGCAGGCTCTTTCTGCGAATTAACGCTGCCTCGTCCCAATTCTCGACATCTATTTTCATCTCGTCATCCATCGGTCTGTCGCTCACCACTAGTCTGGTTGCTTCCCCCCGAGAAGCCAGCACGTGTGGAGTATATCATAAGAATAATGTTCCCTCGGGGAAAATAAAAACATCCACCCAATTTGGTCCTAATTATGAGTCGAGATCTTCCTTTGTTGTTGTTGAGATGCGGGGACACTCAATCGGATTAAAATCCGGAGTTGATGGGGGGTGATAGGATTTATTCTTGGAATCAGGTGCATAACGACCTGAATATAAATATTTTATTATCAGTTTTGTTATCGTTGAAAAAGTCCGAACGGTCCGACTATTTGGGTCGAGAATTCCTTCCCTCATTGTCTCATTTATAATTCAATTCCTCACAAACTTAATTTCCTTCCATTTACATAAAATTCATGGAATGTCAGGGGTTTGATTATTTCTTTTTTCCAATTGTCTATAACAAAATGATTGATTGTAGGAATTAACGCTTTCATTCACAAATGAATTGGTTTTTTTTTTAACGAATTAAAATTTATAAATCTTTCAGGCAAAATTTCCCCCATCAACTTTTTTATTTTTACCGCAGACAGTTGAAAAGACATTGAGGCGAAGCCATTGTGTTGAAAAGCTCGTCAAACCTCCCAATTACGGTATCTCATTCACCGCAATGACAATTATCGTTTATTCATTCGTTGATTTCGAAGCCCACACGTGAACCGCAGCTCTCCCCTGTCACTTGCGAAAATATTTGCTGGGCATTATAACACCGTCCGTGACCCACAACTGTCCATCACCTCCGAGACACGTGATGATGAGATGGCGAGTACACTCGTAGCACTCTTTCTTCCAGGTGACTAGCTGGTCCTTGTTGAGAATCGAGAAAAATATTTCGAATTCGATCGAGATCGTTGACATTTGATGTTCACTTTAATTCCCTGACCTTGTTAAGTTATTCTTGTTATTAGATTTAATAGGTGTGGAAATATTTGGTGGAGACTCCGTTTTGAGACTTGAAAAATTAGCGCGGGTTCTGTTTAATGAACCGTTTAGTCTTGTTAAAAAAGGGATTTCGAAATAGCGTCAACGCAGAGTGATGTTTAAATGTCGAAATTGACAAAACAACGTTTGTAGGAAAAACAAAATTTTTTTATTACATGAATTTTCTTTTTTTTGGTCAAATCGTAAAACATCTATCACCTTTTTATATGGAAATGAAGACGCATTATGAAAGACATGACGAATGCATAAACAACAATTGATCATGAAGATGAACGATGCATGAAAATCTGAAGAACAGAATTAATTTTACACATTATGAACATAAAACTACTATAGCGAAAATTTAATTTGTGAGTTTAAGACTTCTTTGAGACTTAAAGTTAAACAAAAATTAAATGAGCGGTATTTTCGTTTGACGGACTATTTAGTTTTGTTAAAAACATGTATTTTGACATGGCATCCACACAAGCTGTTGACAAACGCTAAATTTTTATGTTTACAATTTTTTGAAATGTTGAATTTGCCAGACTTTTTAGGAAAAATATTTGTTTCTTATTTAAATTTTCTTTGCGTTCAAAGCCTAAAACATCTATTATTTTTTTACATAAAATTGACAATGCATTACAAAAGATGAATGGAGAAAATATCGATCGATCATAAAGATAAATGACGAATAAAACTCCAAAACACATCATAAACATAAAAAAATACAAAACTGTGACCGAAAAATAATTTTCGAGGATTGAGGAAAAGCGGACAGACAGTTTCAATATATATTCGATATAAAACGACTTCACGGCGTTCCACAAAACCCTTCAACAAATTGAATAACTCACCGAGAATCAATACAATTCCTAAAAAATAAAAAAGAATTCCAATAAAAAATACTCAAACATAAACTGCATTTAAAAAAATACCGATTTTCTCCCGTACACTTACCAAATAAAAAAATAGTGTCCATAAAAAAATACCGATCGAAGCCGCGAATTTTATTGACCAAAGTGAAAAGCAAATGTTCAATGGTCATGAGAGAAATCGATTTGTTTGGGAGCGGCAGGAGAGGGAGATTAGGGAACAGAGTGAGAGCGGAAGGAACTCGAATGTCTCAGGAACAGGCACGACCTGGCTGAGTCCAATCGTCTAAAAAAAGTCATTCGACACTGTTGGTACAAGCGAAAGTTAGCAAAGATCCCTTCAAAATTCCTCCTCCCACTCCTAATTACAAAACGAGGAGTTTTTTTCTCGACAATTTCACGTGAGAGGGGAAAATACTCTTAATACGATGATGTATCGCCCGATCCTTTCGGCCATTTCGTTCCATCCTGACTACACTTGTAACTTAAACTCCTTTCTCCTTGTTGTTCTGTCTTGTCTCCAACCGCGATAAACTTTACGTGTTCATTATAGAAACTTTCCTCGTTATTTATGTTACGAGTCTGCGAACAGCTGGGGCTGCTTCAGTTAAAAATCATTCATCGTGAGATACCTGATGATGATATCAAAACAGTTGCAAGTCGCGAGCGGGGGGCAGTCGTGGAGAGACTGGAGAATGATAAAATCGACTATTGCCAGGAGAAATCATGATGTATGGGAGTTGTGATGTATGAACTGCTGAAGTTCGCGAGTATTTATCGCTCTGAGGATATTCAGCGAGTTTATTTTTTTATCAAGGATCAATTTATATTCGAAGTGACTGATATTCGTGTAAATAGATTGATTTAATCAATAAATTTCTCTCAACTGATTTCACGAAAAGATTGTGAACCCAGAGGAATGACGCATTTTAATTTAATGGAACTATTTATTTGACATTTTCTGTTCATTTAAAAAATTAATGAGATTGAATAGATATTTCAATCGAAATTTTGTAGTTATGTGAAATGAATGATGCGTCCGTTACAAATAAATCCTCTATTAGAATTGAATAAAACTATTTATTTGAAATTTTTGCATTCATTTTTTCAATTAATGAAGGGAAATATTCACTTTGATAGATAATTCTTAATTATATTAAATGAATAATGCATTCATTAAAAATGAATCTTCTACAAAAATCAGATGAGAACGGAAATTAATGTATTTGTGATCAATTTTTGTGTGGGAGTTGCGATGCATGAACTGCTGAAGTTCACGAGTATTTGTCACTCCGAGGATATTCAACAAGTTAATTTTTTCATCAAGGATCTATTTCTGTTCGAAGTGACTGATATTCGTCTAAATAGATTGATTTCATCAATAAATTTCTCTCAACTGATTTCACAAAAATCGGAAACCCAGAGGAATAACGTATTTTAATTAAATAGAACTATTTATTTGACATTTTCTGTTCATTTAAAAAATTAATGAGATTGAATAGATATTTCAATCGAAATTTTTCAATTATGTGAAATGAATGATGTGTCCGTTACAAATAAATCCTCTATGAGAATTAAATAAAACCATTTATTTATTGGTTGTATTCATTACAAATGAATAATGAATAATGCATTTGCAATAATTGAATAATACAATCATTACAAATGAATCTTCTTCAAAAATCAGAAAAAAGGTAATTAATGTAATTTCAATCAATTTATTTTCAATTCCAGTTGTCTACTGCGATTATACATCATCGGGTAGATCCCTACAATTTCTGGAAGAGTACATAGCGAAGGAGGTTTTGCCATGTCTGGGAGACACACGTGCCTCAACGTCCATCTGCAGTCTCCAGTCGTCACTCTTCAGGTGAGTCCCTCCCATAACTCCACAATCTCGGATGAACCGAGGTCAGACTCAGCGTTCAACGGTGAATAATCGAATTACGAGAGAGAGAGTGAGAGAGGAAGGTGCGCCTGCTCGTTCTAAATTGCGGGGGGTTCCTCTCATTCGCTGATGTAGGCCACCAGTGCGCCCGGAGACAACGCACATGGCTCTCTTCTACTGGGCATTCTCAGCTGAGATCAATATCCAACCTCTGCCACTGGAAGCGGCACCCCGTGACGAAAATTCGAAGTGGAAATTTTCTTCGATTATTCAGCGTATTTTTTTTTGTTGAAAAGTAAAATTTTTTCGGGAAAACACGAAAATTATTAATTTTTAAAATTAATAGAAATCGGGAAAACTTGGGTAAATTAATTGATGAATTTTTAATTAATTGGAAATTGAACGTTTGAAAAATATGAGATGCGTATTGTTTTTTTAAGGAGAAGAAATGTCTACGTTATGCAGTCATATAATACAAATGCTTTCAATTGAAGATATTTTATCAATTTCGCATTATTTATCGAAATAAAAAAGCGTGTGTAATAATTTTCATTTCATTTTAATTTATACTAATGAAAAAAATTCATGAAAACTCGAATTGAGGAGGGTCGTTCCATTCATTAAAAAGAAATCCCAATTATTGATTCATCGTTGAAAAATTTCTCACGTGTTCTGCACTAATTTTAATTTTTTGGCTGACATTTGAGGTTCACTTCTTGGAAATTGTGATCGCATTTTAGTTCCACTGAAATTGAAGGAACTTTGTCATTGAAAATTCAAAATTCTTTCAGAAAATCATGAAAATTATTAATCATAAAAATAAACAGAAATGCGGAAAATCATCCAAATCAATTGTTGAACTTCTAATTAATTGAAAATCCAGGTACCGTTATAACCGAATAATCAAACTTCAGAAATCCATTGTGTCGCGAGCAGTTGCAGTAGAACGAAGGGTGGGCGTTGTTGGCCTTGTGGTATGGCCGAGCGCCACGAGTGAATTAATTATGCTCACTTTCCCGGAAACCACGAGTATGTGTGCGCATTGTTACGAAGGGTGCAGCATTGAATTTGTTGTAGCCATTACGTACTAATGAAAGTGGCACTTTAAGTGAATTAAACACTCGGATAAAGCAAAATTGCCGGGACTAAATATTCCGGAAAACTCTCGGATAAATCTTATCGAGCGTCGCACGCTGGATCTCCGTGGATTCAGTAGACACGCATAAGTACACGCGAGAGTCGGACGAATTATCTGAACAAGTGACTTTCGATCGAGATCTATTCAATGACTGGTGAAAGCGAAAGCCCTCCGACAACGGACAATAATCATGTCGTGTTTACGTACAGATCGATAAACGAACGGAAATAACTGACGTCAATTTATCTGACAATTTTCCGATTTTTCAAATCAACGTTTCATGGTAATTTTGCATGATTATCTATCTCGTTTATCTATTCGATCCATGGAAAAATTTCTTGTGCAGACGATTGTATTATATTTATCGGTTGTACACGGTGAAAATTATTTGGTGAATTTCAACATCAGCACCTCTAAATTATTCTACTCAATTTTTCTGTAGCTGATCTTATCATTCGCGTCTTGATTTACATATGTTAGTGCTATTCTTGCAAACATCTAAAGTATTCTCTTGACCCTATAAATAAACAAATAAATAAATAAATAAATATATGGATGAATAAATAAATGAATAAACTAGTTATTGCCCTACGGTGCTAGCGCACTGCGGTGGTGGGCAGGCTTAGCTTTGGGAAGCTAAGCAGCACTGAGCGTGGTCGCTAGATGGATGGGATACCGCGCGGGAACACCTCAGGGAAGAAACATTGTTTGGAAAAACTGGAAAGAGTATTTGGGAAAAACAAATATGCGGAATAAAAAACGGGATGAAGGAATAAGAAACCGTAAAAACCGAGAAGTATACGGTGAAATAGAATAAATAAAAAAATTAATAAACTAGTTAATGAAAAAGTGAATTATTAACAAGCAATTGAATTTCAAGGACAAATTAATTAAATTTCAAAAAAGATTTTTCAATTTCATTCGACAACGATTATCAACGAAATTCTAAAAATGACGAAAATTGTTTTCACATCGGAAATATTTCCAGACTATTCCCCACTTCACCCCTGATTCGCTCAATTTCTGCACTCTCATCATTCTCACTAAACCTCTTGACTTCTTATCACGTACGAAGTTCAAGAACACTAAAATAATGAAACAGCAGAATTTTTTATCCCCCAAAAAAATTAATTCTCACGATTTTTTTATTTCTACAGTTGCACATATTTCCTCTTTATTTATGTTATTTTCTCATGGAAACCCAAAGCCGAGGCCATGCGGTTCATTATGCAGGTGTTGCGTTTACTTAATCAAAGTGAAAAAAAAACATAACTTCCCGGAACTGTAGTCACACTGCAGTAGAGAATAATTTGGGTCAGGGTGGTATTCATTCGAGGGTCGTTGCATCCAGCCAATTAAATTTTATTCCCAATGACGCAAATAAAATTAGCCGTGCGTATTGCCTTTTCCCCTCTTCGAGGAGACATTTCCGAGCGTCCGGGGACAAAGAAAACCCCTCAATGAAGTAAACGCACGGACTGGGAGGGAGAGTGGGATGTTACGTGGGTAATTGACAGTCGTAAACATGATCTATGACTCTGTTAATGATTGTCCGCTGGTGTCGATTCGCGGAAGAGGCTTTTGGACGCGTGAGGAACTTCAGGAACAGGAAATTTAGAATACGGTGGGGGGAGGGGGCTAATGGACTATAGAATGCAACGAACGCCGCCTGAGAATAGAAAGTTAGGAAGGAAAGTCTTGCATTCGGCGCATCGGGCAAATGTCGACCGTGCTGCACGATAATATGTCGATATTTTCAGCGCATGATGTTGTAAGATTGGGGGTAAAAAATTGAAGGCTCGGTAATGCTGGCTACCGCGCGAGCGGAGTTCGAGAAAACATCGGGACAAATGAGGAAGACTAGTTTTTGGTTTATTCTGTCGCTCTGTCACAACTCCGTTGAAGAGAATTGAAGCGAAAATTTCTTCGAGAATTGACGTTTTCAATCATGAAATTTGTCAATTGAATTGTCTGGAACGAATTAGGAATTTTTTTTGTGCAATTTTGTGCAAAAATTTTGTACAAAGTCGCTTTTTTTTAATTATAAATTAGGGATGAAATCGCGAAGTGGCAAAATCGTAATTTTTTACTTTTTAAATAAATATTCCCGACTGTCGAGTTGTTTCACATTTTTAAAACATCTTTTTATTATTGAGACATCAGTCAATGTAGAATGATGTGGATAATTTAGTAGTAATATTAGTATCGATTTTCAGAAAATTTTATACAATTGTTTGTTTCACTGGAAATTTAACGGAATTTTAAATTTTTTACAGTAGGAAGCTGAGAATTCCTCAAATTACTTTAATTTTCAATGATGATATGAATATTCAGTATTAAAATTCCACGTTTGCAACGTACACAAATGAAAAAAGTGTTGATTTTATGTGACATGTTTATGTGATATGTCCCTGATTTTCAGAATCAAAAGTGAAACCCCCCATTATTAGAGATTCGCGATTGTGAAATTCAGCGAGTCTGAAATTTTGAAATTGAGGGATTTTGACACCAATTTTTAGAGACATCGTCAATAATTTTCAGGAAAATGTCACTGATTTTCAGGGATCCGTCTCTAATTTTTAGGAATTTATGACCAAAATTCATAGTGATGCCGTCGAGATTACACGATAAAAATTTTGGATGGATCATCACGGTCAGAAAAAACATCGAAATATACCGTTACGATATATCGGCGATATAAAAACAGAAAAAACCGAAGGAGTCGAGACCCAGATAAGATAAGTCCTCCCGAAATCGTGACGGGATACACCGATCCCATGTTTTTCGAGATTGCAACGATTCCAAAACTTTTGATGTTTTTCCAGACAGTGATGATCTATCCAAATAATTTATCGTGTAGTGTCGACGGCATCACTAAAAATTCAGTGTTAAAAATTCTACTGTCTCCACTATCACCAAAAATGAGTTGCAGATATCTAAAAATAAGTGCCACACCCCTAAAAACCAGCGACATGTTCCTAAAATAGTATATTTCGTAACGAGTGCAAAAAAGTGTTTTTTGGCGAGTGGAAGGTTTCGCCTCCCACTCGCCTTAGGGTCGTGATATAATCCCACGAGCTAAAAAACATTTTTTCACGAGTTACGAACAATATTTTTCATCACAATGTGGCGGAAATTGGACTTTTAGGCACGCGGAGCGTGCCGAAAAGTTCACTTTTCGTCACAGTGTGATGAAAAAAAAAATTCGAATACAGCCTCTTATTTACGTGTCCTAACCAGAAACTCCCTAAAAAAACTTCATATTTGTAAACCCAAGAATCGACCGACTCCCAAAATACTCGACCTCTCAACGTGAAAATGACCAGAGTAACCACTTCTCTGTTTATCACCCATTTCCCATAGCCTCAAAAATAGCCTTCCAGACACCGACCGGATGTGATTTTCCCAACAACCAAGCCCCACCGCAAGCCTCCACTTCTCCGAATGACCGGAGAATCCACAAAGATGTCCATGTACACCTCGCCCATCAACTTGCGGAAATAATTAAGCCCCAAGAAGCCATAAAGCCGCCCCCGAGGTTCAAAGTGACTTCTTCCCTGAAAAATCTCGGCAAACAAGTTGAATTTCACAAGTTTCATCCGCTTACAAAAATTCGCACTGACACCGGATCTCGAAATCCGAGGTGGTGACGATGTTCGTAATTCAACGCCAAAAGTTGCTGGAGTCATTAGATTAGAGCGTTGGGAAAAACCTCGTGAAATTAAGACGCAGAAGCCCGAGATAAAAATAAATAAAAAAACTCTGACACTGTTACGGTAGCCTTCGAACAAAGGAAAAGTTCCCTCAGCCCTGCTATATCCACGCACGTAATAGCATGTGCATA